CTCTATATAATTAATTTAAGGTTACAACGATTTAAATTTTATATCCTCTTAAGTATATTTTATTTAAACATAAAAAATTCTGTTGCCTATTAATGAATATCTATCAATAATTTAATTTTTAAGAAGGAAATATATTTATATTTTTTATTATTATAAAATGATAAGACTCATATCAAAAAAATTTAAATAAAATATCTTATTTGAATAAAAAACACAAATATTATTATTAATTATAATATACAAATTTAATCAACTAGAGATTATTTAAAAATATAATATTAAAGATTCATAAAAGATAATTTTTTAGAATGAAAAAAATTTTAAGTTTAATTTAAGTTACAAAACGTTAGGTGAATTGTAACAAAAATAATGATGTTATAATGCAAATACTTCTTTAAATAAAACATTACTAGATTTAAAAGTTCTTTTCAGGAATTCTTCCTTGTATATAATTACACAATATTCTATGCAGTGAAAGTAATACAAGATGCCTTGACCCAACCACAATGTTTACGAACTATTACATACACTAAATCTTCATATTACATTTCTTAATAATATAAAAATTACTATAATAAAATATTTTATTTTAACACAAGACTTTACAACAACGAAAATAATATTTAGTTTCAAATATTTAAATTTGTTCACGGTACAAATATTTATTATTTAATCTTTCGAAGAGTGAATGAATTAGATCCACAAAACTAAGTTTTCATTTGTTTTTTTAGGGGTAAGCATCTCGTTCGTCCCTAATTTTTAACATGGTTATATAAAAAAACGAATTAAAATTATAGGTAATCATTATTTTATAATTTAGGCATAGATCTTTAAGTTCTAAATTTTTAGGGTGAAAACTTGTTATACAATTTCATAACATTACGTTTGTAAAAAAAAAAGTGAAAGTGAAATCAATGTGTCTGATCGGAAAGATACTCTCAACTCAAATAACTACAAACACGTGATTTCAGTTATGTATGCATTGCTTTATGAATATTCGTGTTAGATCACTTAAAATAATAAAGATTTAACGTTCATTTCAAATTGTATAATAGCAAATTGTTATGATTAATAGAGTGCAGAAAACAAAAAACATTTTTTTCAGTTGAGTAATTAATAATCTATAATCTAATCAATAAAATAATATAAATAAATAATAATATAATTGAATAGATAGAAGGGAGTTAATTTAATTTTTATTTATACAAAACATAATAGTAGATATATTTTAAAATGAAAATACAGTAACTTTTTAGAAAACAACTTGAAAATCGCGTTTATTAAAATCCATATTTTTAAAGTACCAATTTTTTTCATATTATTAGTTATTCAGGACAATGATTAATGATGAAAAATAATTTGTTGACAAAAAAAAAGGACAAAAACACGAATACTCGTTTATTCTTTGATTTTTAAATCACATGGAGTAAGAAAAGGATCCAGAAGAAATTTTTGGAGAGGAAGAAGAAAGCTTTTTTACTATTTCTGTTAAAAAGAAAGTTTTATAGTTTTTCTTTTTCTTAAATTTTATCACAACTAATTGGGGTTGGCCACCCTTATCCTAAACTTCCACTTGACATCATACCTGTTCTCACATCTTCCGATTCCTCTCTCCTTATAACCATATAGATCTCCTTTCTTTCATCTTGTCTACGATTGACACTACACCTATACTGCCTCTTATATGTTCGTTCCTTAACGTATCCATCTAATTTCCAATTGACATGATCTCCCACATCACCTACACTCACATCTAAATCATGCCAATAAATCATGGCCTAGAACTTAAAAATTTCGTTCAATATTGTTACCACCTTTTTTATTAGTTTTTCTAATATAAGGTTGACTATTACCATAATTTAACTGATCTAAGTTGGCACCTACACCGATCATTTATCTTCTTTTTACTCATCTTTATCCCAACTTCGTGGAGTCGGCCACCCTTATCATAAATTTCCAATTGACATGCACTCCTACTCTTATCCTAAAATCTTATGTTAAAATGAGAGCTATTTTTTAAAAAGAGGACCATTTCTTTAAAAATAATTCTAGTTTTTGATTTTAGAAATTGAAAATCAATTATTATCAGTAACCTGGGGTAGACCCAGAATTTTTCAAGGGTATGGACAAAACTTTTTTACACATTATAATTGATTTTTGTCAGTTTTTTTCATTTGAAAGACCTTATTTCCTTTCATATTTCTATACTTATTCAACAATAATTATTCATAAAGATGGTACACCCTAGTTTCTCTCTCTGAATCTAACAGTTATTAACCATTTGTGTTAATTTAATAGTAATACATATATTCAGCTGATACATCAAAATTCATATGAATCACTCTATGAATGAGCAAATCAAAAACTTACATCATATATATGAAATAAAACTAATAAATAAACCTAAACTATTAAATTTTCCTTATTCCATATACTGGACTTGAAAAAAAAATTTGTTGATAATGTTATTCCATCAATCTAAAATTACATTAAGTCATTAGTAAGTTTTTAAAAACTCACAAGGATCAAAAAATTCAAATACTACTAACTTCACTTGACACTTTAAATTTGTCATCTTAAGACAACTGGTCCATTTCAAAATTAATGATAACAAAAATAATATAACGCTATACGCTTTACAAAAATACTAGTATCATACTCAGTATACAACAATTTAGCTTTTATTATAAATTAAAAATATTGCTTCAAAACAAAAAATATATAAAAATACTTAACTCAAAAATCATTAGAATTACTAAAAATCAATCATTTTAATCAATGGCCAGCTGTCTCCTATGTCCATTTTATTACCAAAGTTAAAATTCATGCTTATTTTGATTTGATTGAATTAGATTTTCAGATTAATTTTTTACATTAATAGATAAATTTATTAAATCTGATAAAAAGATGACAATTTATAGATAATTAAAAAGTAAGTTTCTCACCATAGTATTAAAAATAAATATTAAAAATTAATTATATTGATTTGAGAAGAAATAACTACACAAATGAAAACATGGAAGAAATAATAGAAACGGCAATGGCTCTACATAATTTAGAATACAACAATTTTAACTTTGTGTTGATAAAAAATTTGAAGTTATTTATTATTGCACTAATCCTTTATAAACGAAAAAGAAATAATGTTTCAAAAAGTATTAATTCATACCACAAATGTGGTATGAAGTATGTTAAAAATCTATTTAATCACTATTTATTCTATTATTTTTTACTTACTTGTTGTTGTTCATAACTAGCGAATCCATTCTCAGTTCTTTATCAAATTAATTTAAGAAAAATTTATTTGTTGATGTACCATATACATAAATAAACTCAATCACAAACCACTTACAATTATAAATTTAAGAATGCATACTTCTAACAATTGTAATCATTAAATTATTAAACACTCTCATTGCGTTAAAATAGCACAATGCTTTTAAAGATCAATTCAGTAACCTACGAATGCTGCACTACTTAAATTACAATCTAATATCATTTCTCTTCAATATAAACGTATGTCCTGACTAACTACTTTCAGACTATTAAGCAAACTGCTATCAGAAATACTTCTGGTTCTCGAATCAGCTGAGTGTAGTACCCCACCTTTTATGGATAACGGCAAATTTTCATTATCATAACGTAATTTATTTTGATCTGTTGCCGTCTATTTTCTTCACAAAAAAGTAAAAGTCATTTCAAAGTAATTGTTTGCGTTTTACTTTTCTTGTTATAAAAACTAAGATCATCTAGTCACATAATTACTTGACTTCACTCTTTTATCGAGTATCACTGTAAAAATCTGCACAAACAAATTTATTCTTGTACACGCTAAATACGCGATTACATAACAAAGCAGTTAACTACAGACGCGGTAGCTGGTTTTGGAAAGTTTTTAGTCCAATATTCGTCAAATACACTCTATGCTCCGTTTTTTTTATTAAAGTTAAAAATGTTAACAGATAAACAATAATATGGTCTTTATGTTAAAGAGTGCTAATAACGCCAAACAAAATATCTACTTTGGCAATTTCAAAATAAAATAATTTATATCTTCAACTCGTTTGGAGTAATATTTGATATGTTGGTATTCAGAGTTTGAAAACATCCCCCTCCTAAAAATATTCTAAATATAATAATTATAAACTTTCGGGGTTAAATTTGATGATGTTGCATGGAGAAGAAAAAATTTTGGTTTAGAATCATCCTTAAATAAACTGGCTACTTACCTATTTGATACTATTTTAAATGTTTTCAGATACTATTTATTCATTCGCAAATTTGAAAAATAAAAATTTTGGTTGTAATAGTTGCTAAAAAATGGGTTCTTTGATACTTTTAGTAATTTTACATAAAAACTTGATCAAAATTAATTTATAACTTGAAAATTTATACGTAATTAGTGATGTAGCCAAAAGGAGCAATCCCTCTCCATTGACAGAAATATTCATCTCTAAAATGAAGTAATGAGAAAACTAAATGTTCAAAATAAGGCATTTTGTAGATTTTGTATATGCCCTAATTAAGAAATTCTGGCTATGCCACTGTGCACTAGTTACACGTTTGGCCCAAACTTCATGTAGTGTTTTGGTTATATTCAACATTTTTTAAATCAGGAACTCCCTAATAGTTTGTTAAGTTAGACATGTGTCACAATGCCTTAGAAGTTTACTAAACTAAGTAACGTAATGTCAAGCAATAATAAGAAAATATAAATAAACAATAGCCAAATTCTTATTACATAGGGATATAACAATTATTATTTTGTTCAATTATTTTATGTTTATTCTTATTAGTTTTTTGTTATTTTTTATTAATTCTAGTCATTTTGACTATGATCAGTTGATGAGAATTTCAAAAATCTGAAAATAATTTCTCCGTAATAATTGGTAATAGATAATAGTCTAAAATATTCTTCATGCTAATTATACTCAATGATAACACGCCTGCTCAAAGTATTGCACTATATTAATGATAGTGGTGCTCACATAGTGTCATAATTTTTATCATATTTATCATTTGAATTTAAATAATATATAAAAAAAAAAAATTAATTGAGTACATTTTAATATATAATGAAATATCTTTTACTGATTATTACGGAACAATTAATGTAAAAAACTTTTGTCTTCATACTATAAAAAAATCTTTAAAATGAACGTTTGACTTTTCGGTAGAGTGATTTATTTCAATTATATGTATTTTTTCTATAATATATTTATAACCAAAATTTGAATAATTTAACTTAAATCATAACACTATGTCTTTTTCATCTAGAATTTTTGAAACCTCCAATCATGGCAAAGTTAGTTAATGATCCCTGTGGAATATTTTGTATTATATTTACATACACATCTATAATATATGCTGATTATGTGGTTATTAATTGGATTGTAATGCACACTATGCCAGAAAGGTAATGTAAAAAACATTAAAATCCAAACATACATAGATAAAGTAGAATTTTGATATTATTCAAGTATCATTCCTTGTAGCATTAACATTCTTAGAAATTGATATAGATCACTATAATATAGTAATCTATATTAAATAACAAATATAGTTTAAGAAAAAGATTGACCCAGTAAATAGAGTCTCTGTCTTTCTCCATGGCAATAGAGTAACTATATAGTTAATATAATAATATTTGACAATAAAAATTGATCTCATTGTAAAGGGTTGCATTCATCTTTTATAAGTTCAAAAATGTATATACAAGTATATAAATATAGTTATGTTTACATATATACACTATTGTTTAATTAATCGTTAAACTAATATCTATTTTGTTTATTTCTATAGCTTGTGGGCTTTATTTCATATAGTACTTTTTAACACATTTCTATTGTTACTAATGGTATCTCATTTACGAGCCATGTGTTCTGATCCAGGAGCAGTTCCTTTACCACATTCAAAAATGTCATTATCTGATATACGTCAAGGAGGTGATATATGTCATATTTCAATAAAAATATTTATTTAATTTAATATTATAAAATTTAGTTAACAGAGAAAACTGGACTATTTGCACAAGATGTGAAACTTATAGGCCCCCACGTGCTCATCATTGCAGAATTTGTAAGCGATGCATTAAGCGAATGGATCATCACTGTCCATGGTATGTCTTTTAACTTCCCAGTCTTTTTATTTTTATATTTATTAATTATTTACATTTTATTTTTAGGATTAACAATTGTGTTGGAGAAAATAATCAAAAATATTTTGTTCAATTTTTATTTTTTGTTTGTATCCTTTCTGCTTATACTATCATATTGGTCATTGTGTCATGGGTACGTGAATGTCGACAATGTAAAAACTATGATATTGATGTCAGACAAACTCAAATGTATGTATCATTTATTTAATATTTTAACCATGTTTAATGACTTTTGTAGAGTAACGGTGTTAGTCTTGGGCAATTTTGATATTTGACATATAGTAATTTAAAGTTAAAAAAGAAAAGTTTTTTTTCATGTCTAGTGAATTAAAAAATAAAATAAATTATTAAAAACCTAAATTATCATAAAACTAGATTATTTATAATGTATTCAACACAAACATTTGCTAAAAAAACTAGTTATTGTGCCAATGACTGGTACTAGTAGCATTACTCTACTTAATGTATGTTCAATTTTTTATTTTAAATAATTAGAAATAAAAATAAGTATAATTTAATAAGATGTAAATTAAATTTTAATCAATTTATTTTTTCTTCTTGCTTTAGTTTACACTCAGTTATTTTAATAATGGAAAGTGCTTTATTTGGTATGTTTGTGGTTGCAATATTATACGATCAAATAGATGCAATATGTAGTGATCAGACAACACTTGAACAAACTATTTACAGACGACACAATCCTCTTCATAGATATTTATTTTCTTACATTTGTAGATGGCCTAAATTGTCTAGAACTGCTTCAAAGGTGAATATTCGAACAGTTTAGTGTTAAGTTTGTTTAATAATTTATGTTTACCATTTATTTTCATTTTAATATTGTGAGATATAGTTTAAATAATTAAATTATTTAAGTATATTTCAAAGACATTGTTAAGTATTATCAATTTTTAACTTTATGTCATCTTTGTAATGTTTTAATTAAAAAATAAAATATATATAAAGATAGCTTATAAGTTTTTCAATTTAAAAATGTGATAAATAAAAAAGATTCTATTCATTAATAGTATTTCATAAACATTAAAATATATATTGTATAGTGCATTAATACATGTGTGTTATTAAATGTACAATTAATGTTATTTTTTTAATTGTAGAATGTTATTGGTTTATTATTTTATTATTTTATGCATTATATGGAATAATAAAATTATTTTGTCATTAAGAAGTGCAAAAATTAAATTAATTTATTTTTTGTTTATTGTACTTTGTTGTTGAATTTAATTATACATTCTGGTTTCTCATTTTCTTAATAATAACCTCTTTAGTCAAAGGTAAATTTATTCAAATGACCATTACTAATATAAAAAAAGTATTATTTTTATTAATTCACTATTATATGTTTAAAGTAATTTGAATTATTTCAAAGTAAAATAGTAAGATTTTATTTTTAATATTAGGGTAATTAATATGTAATTATGTTTTATACATACATATATATATTATAAAAATTACTTTGATAGCAAAATAATAATAAAATAATTATACTTATTTTGTATAAATTTAATGGAAAAGTTAATAAATTAAGCTAAAACCAAATTTGTCTTTAATTATATTACATTATATTTCTTAACTTTAACTCTCAACTATAATTGAAATAAACTTATTAATTGCTTCTATCATATTGGATGATATTTTACAAATTTTTACTTATGTGTTTTTATTATATTAGACTAGGTCATATAATATTTAATACTTAAAAATGTAAACTATTTATTATATAATGATAAAATTTAAAATATTGTATTAAATTTTATTTTATTCTAAAATGTTGAAATTATTGTTTAAACTTTATTTTTATTACAGAGCATTTTTAATAAAAAAATTAATATTACTTTGTTTATGTATAATAATAATTGATATTTTTTATTGGAAAATCAAACTACTTATTTATTTATGATAAATTTTATAATTATATATTTAAATAATTGTTTGTGTTTTATGTGCAATTAAAATTGTCAAATAGTATGAAATAATAGTTATTTTATTTTGTGCAATTGTTTGAAGAAGCATAATTATCTTATATGGCTTGTTAAATAACTATTGACTTTGTCCTATGTTGGACCAACTCAATATTTCATAGTCATAAAAGATTGTACAATTCTATAATTAAAAATTATTTATTTTGTACTTCAATTTTTTTCTAAATATACTGAAGGCTCTTTAGTATAAACATATTGAGAAGACGCTTATTAACTCAACATAATTTTAGAAAAATATTAGATTTTGTAGCACAAAAAATTCTCAATAATGGTTTTTACCATCTAGTTATAAGAGAATATTTTTACATCTCTCTCTCAAAAAATAATTGTTCTGGCTATGGTCTATAACCAATCTTGTTAAAAATAATTTTTTTTTGTATTGAGAATAAGTGTTTGAAAAAAAATAATTAAAAGGGTATTCAAATATGTATTTATTTGAATGTTAATAATTCAAATAAATTGAGAATATTAAAAAAATAGTCCATTTTATATAAAATAATCAATACAGTTATTAAATAATAATTTTATAAATACTCTTAACAATATTTATAATAAACTGAATCTATATATTATCGGAGTGTCATGATAATTCCGCGCTAGGACAATTGAGCATCGGATAATTCAACAATAGTTAAGTTTTATTAAAGGACTATAGATTTTAAAATATGAGGAAAAATAAGCTTAAAAGACTAATATAAATAAATTGTATGTCAAATAAATAAAAAAACAAAATATAACATTAAAAATACAAAAGATTTATAAGTAATTAAATTTTAATGATTAAATAAAACAAAAAAAAAAACATTATATTCTTCCTAAAAAATTCTAAATTACATGCTGATTATTTAAAATTTCCTTTGCCCTGAAAGTAAACGTTCAATGTATGGAAATCAAGATAATCATAAAAATTTTTTATCTAAGTAAAAATAATATATTGTATCTTAATTAGATGACTATGTAATGATTATCTAAGAGAAGTTTTTTTGTTATCTAAACAACAAATATCTATTAATATATTTTATTAATCTACGAGTAATCAAATTCAATAATACTTAGATTAGTTGATCTTTTCCAAAAATTATTTTATTATATTTCATACATTTTTACATAATACATTATGATAAAATTATAAACTCCCTGTCTTATTATAGTATACTTAAATGCATACAGAATGTTTAGTTAGCAAGGAAACAGGTAACTTAGTGAACACTCAAAATAATTTTAATTAATATTACTGTAATATTTAGAGAAATCAACATGCAAAAATATATCAAAGTCTTCTTGGTAATTTATATAAATCTGTTAATAATCGATTTTGTATACATAGTCATGTCATAATAGCTGAATTTATTGTGTTATGATATTTATACCCTAAATAATTTTATTGCTAATAATACAAGTCAAGGAAAAGGATATTTTTTATTTTATTAATTTGTTGTGAAGTCTTTAGAAGTATACGTTGTATTTCAATGAAAACACTGAACAATATCATTGATATTACATCAATACAATTTTAAACAATAATATCTAAATACAGTCGGATATGAGGCATAATGCAGTTAAAGAAATTTTTTTAATTAGTATTCATTGATATTGTAATTCTTCATTTGAAACAAATTTAAAAATAAAGTATATTTACCAAAAGCTACATGATTTTTAACATAAGAAACCAACTATTTATATAGGAAGTTGTTGAAACGTCTTTTTTTCTTAATTGTACAATGCACAATAAAACCTTAAATTTTATTTTTAAATGAAGCCATTTTTACTGAAAAATGTACAATTTTTGGCTTCAATGGCCAAAAAAATTCTATTTATTTTTATAAACCATAATAAACGTTAAGTTATAATATTAGTTACATTTTTTTCTTACAACTATAACTGTAAGGAAAAATTATTTCTAAGGAGAAATTTTAGCGGTAGATTTTGAAAATTAAATAAGATAATATTTTAATTTTTATACTATTAAATTTCTAAAAGAATGGTCTAAATAAAATTTCTACTAGTCGATAATCAGTTTTGTGACATTAATTTTTGAGGTATTGGCAATTAAAGATTTATAAAAGATGAGAAGTGAGGTAGTGTTTAGTGACACTATTTTTTAACCATAAATCACAAATAAGAATTCTTCTACAATGTAAACTAATTGCCTAGATTAAGTCAAAAAGTAATGTTACAAAAATAATTATCAACTAGGTAAAATTCAATTTAATCCATTCCTCATTTTTTTCAGCTAAGAGATGAAAACTTGATTTTTACTCTCTTAACTGACAATGTTTAATGAATATTTGATTGAATATTGATAAATATTCATTGTGTTTCACAAGTTGAGCTTTAATGCGAGACCTATAGGCCTTGCATTTAAGATTACACCCAGAAGTGGATGTAATTCATTTGATTATCAAAAATATTCAATCTTCATGAATAAATACTAATTTACTATATAATAATAAATTTTAATTTAAAAATATTAAATGAAATAATGCTAGTTAATACTTAACTTCACTTTCAAAAGAATGCATGTCTAAAGGAAATTTTGTCTAAAGGGATTAAGGCCAGGAAGAAGAAGAAGAATTGAATTATTTAATAATTATTCAATTGAAACAAAAATTTAAAATTCAATTTTTTTGTATTTTTACTTTGTTACCAAGTGGAATTTTCTTCCTTTAATTCCAAAAAATAGCCTTTTTGTTTTTTTCATTTTAAGCCCTACGATCTATGATATACATAACGATTCAAATATCGTGTTATCAAAAATTGTTCATGTTTGCACACTTTGATTTTGGTATTTTATAATGAGGGGCTATCGAACTATTTGATATCATAAAACTATCGATTACTCAGGTTGTTTTCAAAACTATCGATATAAACGAATGTTTTTCGATAGTATTTAGTTATCGAACTATCGACTATTGAACTTTTACCATGATATAATTACTAACTATTCATCATATGTGTTTAAAACAAAAAAACATGTTATTTGAATTAAAATTTGCATGACTGAATACTTTTGGCTATTAAAATATTAAATTAAATACATAATACTTTTATTTGATTGAACACTATCGAACATGTTACCCATAGCACAACAGTCTAAAATTAGTCTTGGATAATAACAATCGAATGATTATTCGATAGTTCTCATTATTATTTTACCGAAATTTGATAGATTTTTGTCGTATTCCGGAGATAACTTTATTTTTGACTAATGTACTCGTATCAATATATAATAAATGATTTTTTTTTTAATGTTTATTTTCTTAAGAATTAATAATTAATTTAAGGTTTGACACAGTGATTATTTACAGATTTTATTAATTGTTAAATAAATTATAATTATTAGAAAACATTAAATAATGCAACGAGAAGATAAACAATTAGAATTGGTGCTTGAAAATTTTCATAGTAAATTAAATGAGTTTAAAGCTCAAATATATGCGTTAATATATAAATTAGAACATGAACGTGATAATATAAGTTGGACTAGTGTTCTAGACACTTTTGCAGTATTTTCTACTCAATACACTGCAATTATGAAATATCTTTCATATGAAAAACTTCCACAGCTTCGTAATTATACAATTTTACCTTTGATGTTAAATCCTGAAAGAGATGAAGACTTAGCACGTCTTACCGAAAATCGAGTACCAGCTTTGTCACATGATATTGTGCCAGATTTTTTACGTACTAAAACTGAACCAGAAGTTGAACATAAGCTTATGCAGGTTTGAAATTTTGTTTCTAATAACTATTATAGATTTCCCGCCACAGATTCTGACATCTTTTGTAACTAAATACAAAAAATATTTAGAGTTAATTTTTTTTTAAATAATTTTTAAAATTGTAGACTAGGTTTATAACATATTTTTATTATTTAGTACTATTAAGAAAAAAAATATAAAATGAGAAATACTTTGGCTTATTTTCTTGATAATATCAGTCCATAATTACCATTCAAGATACAAACAGTAATTTACACTCATTACCTTATTTTATATTCATTTTTGAATATTTTCTTAATTTTCATACTCAAATTTTAATGAATTTTTATGGTATATTATTTTATTTTAATAATTAATTTGGGACAACCTGTTTATTTATGAACTTAAAATTAATTACAGTAATTTAAAATTTTTGTGTTAATAATAACTGAAAATTTAGTCTGCTAGCATAAAAATAAATTATGTTCTCTAAAGCATTATGAGCTAGTATAAGAAAAGTATGTTTCTTTAAAACCGAAAAATATTGCTTCCAAAAATATGAAAAAGGTCATCTAAGTGAATTTTTAAGGCAGCCTTAAAAAATTTGAAATGGTCCTAGGGAAGCTGTCTCCTAGTTCATCCCCCCTAAATCCTGATTTAATTAGTATTTCATTGTTAATTAAATCCGAATTCAGTATATTTATTTTATTTTTAACAAGTTATTCTTCTATATATATATCTACTTTATGTAATCCAAATGTATGTTTTATAAAAGTGTTTTATGTGATTAAAATTATAATAATTTATGCAGTTATAATTAATATTTATAGGTAGAACATAAAGCTGGTGGATTACAGAATGAGACCGCTTTAAAACAGTTGACGGCATTCAATAAAGTTGTTAATCATGTACTTGACTTAGTGTCAAAGGCTAGAGAAGAATGGGAAGTAGAAACTGGTGCAAGAGTTGGAGTTGGTCTAACTTCATCTGTAGCTGATTTGCATACTTTAGTATCAGCTGTTAGTATGGGAAAAAATCTTAAACCTATGGTACCTCAAGTTTCCCCAGGTGGTATGATGGTTCCACCTTCAGGGAGACCGGTAACACCAGGAATGGGTCCAAATACACCACCAATGGGTATAATGCCAAAGCCTCCTCCAGGAATGAAAGCTAATGTTAAAACTACAGGAGCACCACATCAGTATCGTTAAAATATTATATTTTTCAGATATTAAAAAGTGAAATGTTTCATTTGTTTATAGTACAATTAATTTTTTTCTTATTTCTTTTTTTTTTTTAAATGGTGATTCTTTTTTATATATTGTTACTATCAATATTGTGTAAAAATATATTAGTTCTAAGATACTCCTTTTTAATTAGAAATATTATAATATATTTTATCTTTCAAATAACAATAATGTAATAAAATATTTACTTTTACTTATTTTATTTAACTAATTTGTATTTTTAATAATAAAAATGAATATAATTTTTTTTTTTAATTAATACACTTGCTATGGAATCTGTAGAGAAGGCTATTATTATTAAAATTTATCGTACTATTAAAATAATATGATTTATTTAATTTTAAAATCAATTTATATTAATCGTTTTGATTTTAAATGAAATTTCTTATAAATAGGTTACTTTAATTCAAATAAATAACTTTAAATAATAATAGTTTTTTCACATAGCTCCAGATTTTGGAATGTAATATTCAGTATAGTTTTGAAGTGAATTACTTAATTGATTATTTAACAACAGTTGCTGAGTATTTTTAATTATAAGTAACAATTTATATAAATAGTATGACAGCACATTTTTACAATATAAATAATTTAAAGGTCAACAGTGGTTGTTGTTGTTTTTTTTTATTAATAGCTAGCAAAAAATTATACATCTATACAAATTAAATAATAGTAATAAATTAAACTATTACTTTTAATCTTAAAAATTACATAAACAAAATTAATTTTTAATTAATAGTCAAATAGTAGAAGTCTTATGTACCAGTATATAATTTTTAAAACCATAACATTAGTTTTTTTTAAAACTTTTTAGTATTGGATATATGTTGTCATAGGCATCATATATTTCTTGTCTGACTTTAGCGCCTGAAAAATTTAAGTTATTAAATTAGTTATATATTTTATACAATAAAGAATATTCCAATTTAATTATCAAATTGTGCTTAGGCCTATTTTATTTGTTCCATGTATACAATACGAAACACAATATTAAATGTGTGTAGAAAAAAAATTCCAAAAATGTATAGTGACTAAATACACAAAATACTTGAAAATGTTGTAAGTTTAGAGTTAGTGTAAAACACATGTAACATAAAAATTTATAAAATATAGGCCCAAGTAAGGCATACATGTTAATCTATTTATAATTAAAATTATATATATTCAACAATACTATGAAAGTTACACTTAAATTTGATATTAACCAGATCTAGAGAGAAAATGAAAATTGTATTCAGGATTTAAACCCTAAATATAGGCCTTTAATAAGGTAACAATTTTTTGGAAGCTTCAGGGAAGGTACTAAATATATAATTTTGAAAGATATATAAATTGATTGTACATTACCTGTCAGTACTACTTTTCCAGACACAAATATCAATAATACAATACGAGGTTTAACCATACGATATATTAGTCCGGGAAATAATTCAGGTTCATAACTAGCATGATAAAACTTATATAAAAAATTATGATTTTTTAATTTTTAAATAAGATAATAATTATAAAAGTTAACCTGCTAAATTGACCATGAGTGAGTACTAAACCTTCTAACCGAATAGGAAATTTAACATCACAACTTCCAACCATATTTTGAATTTTGAAGTCCAAAAATTTTGCCTATAATTATTTAAATTACATATGATTAATACAAAACAAAATAAAATACAATTTTCAAAATCGTATTCTAAGGGAACATCTAAAAAACTCTGATCTTTTTTTAGGATATAAACAGTAACTGGTTACATAAAAATAAATCAGCATTTGTAGATTGTAAATGCTAACTTTTTTTATTTAAATTATTTTTTAACTGATCTCATTATTTCATCAAGATGACAAAAAAATGATTAGTTCACTATGAATTTCAATAATTTTACCTTAGGCATTCTTAAAGTATGTAATAAGAAAAACTTACAGGAAAACTAAGCTTCTGAATAATTCTAGCATATTTTCTTGCTGCAAGCCTAGAATCTTCTTCGCTCTTAGCACCTGTACATACCATCTTTCCAGAACTAAAAATTAATGCTGTAGTACGAGGTTCCCGAATTCTCATGATTACTGCAGCAAATCGTTTTGGATTAAATTCTGCATTACGTGCATGTAGGGCAATTGTTTTTAAATCAAGTCTACAACCTAAATTAACTGTAGATACAATATTTCTACACACATATAAATGATTGATATAATATTTTCAAAGTAATAAAAAAACAAAAAAGTATTCAATTAACTTACTGCAGTTGTGGAACAATTCCAGGATCAGCAGAAGCAGGAGTCATTGGAGTCATTGGAGCTGGAGTTGCTGGATTTTGAATAGTCTGCAAAGGTGGTATAGCTGAAGACGAAGAACTTATTGAGGTTAAAGAAGGCATACTTTGATGTACCTAAAATTTAGTTTGATCTAAGTATTTTTAAGGTAAATATTGAAAATATAAATAAACTTTTATTACTGGTGTTTGAGAATGCATCATACTATGTGGAGTGGCATATCCCATGTTATTTTGCTGATATATTTTATTCATGGATTGTTGTTGAGATTGAAGGCTGTTTGTACTCATTGATAAACTTTGAGGTTGTAAAGGAGGCATTTGCATTATTTGTTGATCTTCTTCTGGCTGATGAACTGGGGTACCAATACTAGGTATACTAAAACCTGGGCTAGGTAGCATTTGATCCATCTTTATATATAATATAAATCACTCGAAATTTGAAGAACCTATTTTAATAGGGCGTTAAAAATATTTCATCAATAAATTGGAGTTACAAAAATGTAAACATTTGTTGGATTAAGTTAAAATAAAAAAAAATATATGTAAGTAAATAATAAAAGATAGTATATACAAGTTTTGAACATTTTGCTTACAGCTTAACAATTAAAATTTGGCAGTTAAGCTTATTCAAAATAACAAAAGTAAAATGTTCAATTAATTATTTGAAAAGTTAATAACATTTATATAATGTTTTTAAATAATTATTATTGATATGATATTAAATAGTTCCATTAGCACTGAAATACTTACAAATAATGCGTTAAAAATTAAAAGTTAAATCGTTACACAAATTCAAAGATAAACTAAAGATTTAAATGTATTTCTTGTTGTGTACAAATAAATTATTGTCTATAATCTATTATCGTTATCACATATTTTCACTCAGAGAAAAGTTAACTGTAGTATCAATAACAATTTACTGTCAATTATTTTAACTATTTATAAAACAGAAACTATGTAGTATTTAAATAATTTTCAGTTCTAAATTAACAATAATAGAATTAAATAAAAGTTTATTGCTTGAAATATTAGGTAGAATTGAAGAGCGTATTACAGCTTTGTAAAAATACTATTAAATTAGGTTGGTACACCAGTAAATAAACGTTTTTGAATTCAGGGGGTCTATTTTTGAGCTTGGACTAATCATAGGCGAATGTTTTAGTACACTAAAACATTAGATTATGATTTTAGAGCACTAAAAGACATTCTAATTTTTGAATTTTATTTTTTATCTGTCTAAAAATCTTGCATTAATCGTTCATCGTCTAATCTAATGTAATTTTAAATCAATAATTATTAGGACGACGAGTTAAATTATATTGGCTGTACTGTATTTTATATTAATTTTATCATTGATACTTAATAAAATTTACGATAACAACAACATTTCCTCATGAAAAATCTGTAACTGTTTATTCATTAATATTTTTAATTTAATTTTTCGTGTTATTTTTACAATGGAATGTTAAAAAGGTCTATTGTTAATTGATTTTCTTCTCAATACCCTAAATTAAATACCAAAATATTTCGATTATCTTATACTATACAAGATACTCAATTATTATGGCAAAATATAACAAAAATTTTAAATCAAACTATTGGACAAAAAAAAAAATTTTTTTAGTATAATGTAATTTTGAGATATTTTTCAAAATTTTTAAAATTGAGGGGTCTTTTTCAATTTTTGATGACTACATGTTCAACTATATTAAAATCGGGTTATATTGACGTATTGATTATTAAAATCAGTCTAGCGAGACCTGAGAATTTTTATGGATGGTCATAAAAATCAAACGTACACTATCAAAAACCTTCTTCGCGTCGCATTGAAACTAAAAATTAAATTTTAAACAAGAAAAAGTTCAATAATTATATTATATTAGTTTCCGCAAAATATCCTCATGAAAAATTAATTATTAATTTTATATTATAAAATTGTCTAGTAGACATAAGTGTAACTATGGAGTTAGAGGACTCAGCTCCTCCATTGACTAATTAGATTTCTAAAAATTTAGAAAATATTTAGTTATTTTAAAATATTTTGATATGTGGGAAAAATAATTTTAGTTCTTATGGTCGTAGTTTATCAATTAAACTTAATACAACATCTTTTACTAGTCTAAATTTGTGTACAAATGCCCTTTCAAACAAAACTATAGAAAATAACATTTTATTAATGTAACTAGAAAATATATGTACATTAGTTTTGTGACATACCAATGAATAGATCTTCTGATATATTTAATCTCGTTGATGTATGGGCATTATCTTGAACGTTTTCAATAATTTCTAAGTTATTCATAACTTGAATATAATGCATATTAAGATGCTACATTTTTGTATCAATAAATTAATTTGGAAACGTTATAAATACACCAAAGTTATACGTTTTCTTAAGAAAATGAATGATAACAGTAATTAGTATACTACACCCAAAGAAAAACCTCAATCAAAATTGAAAGAGAAATTTTATCAAGGGTTTATGATAATGTTTTATTAATACGAACAAAATAACTATTCTTATAAATAATTATTGTTCAAGACAAGAAAAAAAAATATCATATTGATAAATATATCATTGATTCAATAGTAATGATATATTTATCAAATTGAACAATGAATTTATTATATAGATCGAGGTTTTTCTCTGGGTGTAATATCATGATTAGTGTGGTAGATTACCACTCTGAAAAGTTCATCTAAAACTTTAGTACACTAATAAATATTTTTTAGCATACCATCATTTAAATACGGTTGAGTAGTTGGTAGTTCCACACTAATAGTTGCACTAAATCGTCGTGTTTTAGTATACTAAACAGATTAGTACACCAATATAAAATTAAAAAATAGGGTCACAGTTCGTGAAATGAATGGATTAATAACAATCATAGTAGATAAAACCAGATTAGATATAAATCCATAAATCATTTGTTACAATTATGCTCAAAATATAGTTGTTCCAATAAATATTTGTGCCAAATTTATCTTCATTTAAAATAACTTAAAATCCATATAAATATTATTGATAGTTTCACGTTTGGAAAAAAAATTGAAAAGAAAAATTAAATGTCGAAATGTTCATATAAAATTTAAGTTTATACTCTCTATATACACAGTACATACTTTTAGTAAGGAGTATTCTATGTATCATAAATATATTTATAGTCAATATGAAATTTGTAAAACTCTGTTTTTTAACGCCAAGACCTAATATCCATATTACACATTTTTAGAAAAACTCGCAATTTTATCCTATGAAATTTAATGTATGTAGATATTATTAATTACGCACTTCACAATTTATAATTTCTTATCACACATTGTGAGTCATAAAAATCAAAAGATGGTCTCGAGTAATACCATAAACTATTTATAAATAAATTCAGTATCGGTAAACCTTAAAATCATACTTAAATTTTTCATGGTCTTTATTTTTTTGGCTAATAAATATTAAGTAAAATTAAAACTATATTAAAAATATTATTAATATAGTTTTAATTTTACTTAATTAATTAGCCACAAGTGATCAATTTTTATTATATAATAAATATTAATTAATTTTTCAGAGAAAGAATATTTGATTTTTGTCAACTACTAAAAAATTAGCTACTAAAAGGACGGTTGATCCGTCCTGCCACTCAAATATAATGTATGCTGTCGAATCACATTCGTGACAAGTATGTGTTACTAATGTTACCAAAAAACAATCCTTAGCAAATTTCTGTCAAATTTCCTATCAATAGACATTTAAATTATTTTTTCATTATTATTTACTTGTAAAAATCATAGAGTAACTCTATGGTAAAAATGAACACAGTTAAATTAAAATTTGAGTCTCATCACTCGTCAATAAAACAATGTTTTTATAAATTCATATGAGCCTACTGCTAAATAGTACCCTGGTGCGTCGATAATAAAGTATAAAGTAACACAGGTTTTTATCGTTTTCGAAGGAACAGTTTAAGGGTGTAGTTACCGCTGCACAACAGGAATTCGTCACGTTATATTTATAGCAGTGTTTCCCAACCGGTGCACAGTGGGACCAAACGCTGATTTAGCCGGCCAAAAGTACCATTTTTAAATCAACTAATAAAAATTTTTTTTTTAGCAAATTTTTTTTATTATATCCTTATAAGGTCATGTACAAAAATTCAAGGCCAAAAATTGATATAGTAATGGTTGGGTGCTATTTAAATATCATAACACTGTATTTTTTTGTTTTTTTTCTAGGATTTTTATTATTTCTTCAATCATTTTTTCCTGCTTAATTAAAAACCTTAATTTTTTTTTTTTTAATTTAAAATGTTTAAAAAGTCATCGGCTTTCAAATTTACTAAGAAAAAATTTTTATTTCTTTTTTTTTTTAATTTTAATAATTTTTTACACACAAAAAAATGCAAATACTTATTTTACATTGTTTTTTAAAGAGTTTAACTCAAAATTACGCAATATTACGATTACACCAATACATGCATGTTGTAGAAGAACTCTTAAGCTACAATTACAAAAAAAAAAATTTTGCGTCAGATTGCATTTGAGCCCTGCACATAGAATTTCCCTATAATAAACGTGTATTTTTGTAAAAATTGTAATTTTAATAATTTCATTGGTTTTATCAGTTCGATCAACTTTATCAGCTTAAAAGTTGTAAAAATTAGATGTAATTAAAACTAATGATTCGTTAAAATTAAGTTTAAATAAAGTTTTTAATAATATACATAAAATAAAATAAGTTATACAATTTTACTGTGCCACTAAATATTGTTTTATTTTAGAAATACTATTATATTATTGTTAATATAGTTTATTATTGTTAACACTTACCACATACTACTTGATTATCCATTATTTAAAAATAATAGAATAATTTTTACAACTTTTAAATTAAAACAAAACTGCAATTAATTCACTGTGAAACTTATAAAAAATATGTGCAAATTATTATGACGTGACGCGCCGTTTGTAACATGTAACACAATCTGATTAAACAGAAAAATGTTTTGGTAATAATAGTATTTTATTTTATGTGTATTATTAAAAACTTTATTTAAACTTAATTTTAACGAATCATTAGTTTTAATTACATCTAATTTTTACAACTTTTAAGCTGATAAAGTTGATCGAACTGATAAAACCAATGAAATTATTAAAATTACAATTTTTACAAAAATACACGTTTATTATAGGGAAATTCTATGTGCAGGGCTCAAATGCAATCTGACGCAAAATTTTTTTTTTTGTAATTGTAGCTTAAGAGTTCTTCTACAACATGCATGTATTGGTGTAATCGTAATATTGCGTAATTTTGAGTTAAACTCTTTAAAAAAACAATGTAAAATAAGTATTTGCATTTTTTTGTGTGTAAAAAATTATTAAAATTAAAAAAAAAAAGAAATAAACATTTTTTCTTAGTAAATTTGAAAGCCGATGACTTTTTAAACATTTTAAATTAAAAAAAAAAAAATTAAGGTTTTTAATTAAGCAGAAAAAAATGATTGAAGAAAGAATAAAAATCCTAGAAAAAAAACAAAAAAATACAGTGTTATGATATTTAAATAGCACCCAACCATTACTATATCAATTTTTGGCCTTGAATTTTTGTACATGACCTTATAAGGATATAATAAAAAAAATTTGCTAAAAAAAAAATTTTTATTAGTTGATTTAAAAATGGTACTTTTGGCCGGCTAAATCAGCGTTTGGTACCACTGTGCGGTGGTCCGCGGTCCCATAGATTTTTTCTTCGATTTTTCACAAAAATCACATTAAGTAAATTATTTTGTATAGTAAAGTATAATTATATATTAGTTAAGTATAGTAATAAAATGTAAAGTAAAGTAATAAAAATTAACATTTTTTGATAAATTTTGTGTATTCTTGTTAATGAGCAAAAAAAGGT